CATGCACACGGACGTATATGTAAATTGTATATACACGCTTCGAATTGCGAACGCAGAAACCGCAACAGACAGAAGTACACCAACACCCTGGTTTTTTAAAAGCACCTTTTTCCTCCTAGCAGTTAAGGTCGGCGGAATCCACATTGTGGGAGGTGGCAACACCGAACCCTATGGCCCTTCAGTTCGGCTCGCACTTCCCTGGTCTCTCCCTTGCCCTGCTTCTGTTCGTCCCTGTTGGTCACCGCTGGACTCGGTGCAAAGGTGGATGGCATCATTCTCCAGCTGTGTAGCAACCAGTTCCCCGAAGGCCACCGTAGTCAGAGGCCCCATGAGATGAGGACGGCTCCCCAGGTGGCAAAACCCCCGTAGCTCCAGCATGAAGTACTCCCTCGACCGTATCTCCCGTCTGTGCAGCAACCAGGTCGTGCGTCACAATCAGCTCTGCGACCTCGGTTCCATAGAGCTCTTGTACTTGCTGTAGACTGAGTATTCCCGACTGCCACTGCTGGTACACGTTCTCATAGTCAGCAAAGGTCATCCTCTCCAGTCCTTCACCTGGAGCCCCTCCACTCATCACGGCAGTACCTTCTTGCCCTTCTTGTCCCACGACCGCTTCGGAAGGCTTGTCGTCCCCCGGAATAGCTGCATCACCAGGGTCCTGAACCATTGCTGCCGTGAGGGTGACCCTCAGCTCTTCACCCGAAGCCGGAACCATCATACTGTACGAGTGAACGACACGAGGCTTGTCACCACTTCCCGAAGAGGCTTCTATGGTGAGCCTGCAACATTCTAACGGCCTCTTTCTCGTCAGTCTCGACAGTTCTCTCTCCAGCTCCTCTCGTTCCCATGCTTGGTATGCTGCAGCCTGGCTCTGCAGCTCCGCCTCCCTCTTAGCAAAGGCCGCTGTCTCGAGCTCCCTTTTTGTCTCCTCAACTTCGTCTGGCCCATTCATTGCTCTGAGGAGAGGTCCGTGGCAGGGCTTGATCCACCGATTGATTTGCACCTTCAGCACAGTCAGCCCCAGCCATTGTGTCTGCACTATCTCACTCCACGACGTTCACTGGCACAACCGCGAGCGGAAACAGCGTCCCAGGCAGGAAGAACTCCAGCTCATTCCCCCACGAGCCCAACCATTGCTCATCTGCTGCTGCCGCCGGAGCCCCTCCAGGCACTGCGTCCAGCATAGCCACCAGGAGAGCCCGGAGTTGCTCTCGTCGGGTTGCGGCCACACTCCATGGTTCACATGCTGGTAAAGCCTGCGCCTGCCGTACACGTCGGATATTTGCCCATCGATTTGCCGGGCTCTGGGACGACAGCTCTTTCTGGAGCCTGGCAATACATCGTTGCCATCTGTCCTCGTTGGTGTCCCTGCCCCCTGTGTGCAGATATCTCTGCATCAACTCATTTTCATCTCCATCAGTATCAGGGTCTTCAATCCGAACTTCCACCATGTCGTCGGAGGGGAGGTTGCTCATAAAGTCCGCCTGGTGCATCAGGTTGGAAACCTCGGCCATCAAGTAGCGAATCATCTCAATGAAGTTAGCCGTCATGACCAGTCGATTCTGGGCTGACATCTGACGGAAGTGGTTCTGGATCTCGCGTTGCATATGCCCTGGTAGGAACGGTTGGCCTGCTCCAATGACCCTTGTCCTGGCCGGCCACGACTCTCTGTCCACACCCAGCAAGTACCTCTACAGGTCGGTAGCTTCATCCCTGCTGAGTGGCTGCTGGAGGTCCCTTCTGGCCGGCGGGTCCGTAGAACTTCCCGCCCCTGAGCTCGGTCTCGCAGTGCCCCTTGGCGCAGTGCTGCTCGTGGGATGCCCTGCACAGCTGTGCTCCCGGCACTTCCTGACCCTCTCACAACCTCACGTGGGGTATAGCAGTCCCTGGGATCCCCCAAGTAGCGGACAGACTCTGTGACCCTGATGTTCGGGGTGCCCCGATCGCGACCGGAGGATCTAGAGCGTCTTCTCGCTCTCACCCTTCTTCTTCCAGATCTCTCTCTGTGTCGCTCCATGAGGTGAGCGGCATGAGGGTCTTCTCTGCCACGTACCCCCAAATGGTCCGCACAATAGCACTCCCACAGCAGGTGTTCCACATCCTCAGCCCAGATTCGAGACCTGCTGGGATCGAGCTCGGGTCCTCCTGTGGTACTCTGATCATCTTGCTCCACACTCGTAGCTAATGATCCCATAGGGCTCCGAAACCACTCATCATAGCCTTGGTCTCCTCTGCGACGGGCGAGTCCCCTCAGCACATCAAGAATGGGAGTCGCCCGGATTCTGCGATGTTGCCATTCGGTGAGTTGCTCCATGAGCTGCCTCCAAGTAGGCCGAACTCGAAGTACACCTTGGACAAGTGAGGTGCCATCTTGTTCTTCATCCTCATCAGGGTTTCGATGCGGGCCTTCGTCATTTCGGTCATCTGCACCTTCAGCCCTTGTCGCCCCTCCTGCTCGGTCAGGCTCGTGGACCTCAGACCCTCGTGCGTCCTCCTCATGGTTCACCCCGCCGACCAAGTAGCCGTAGCCCATGCGCTCCATTTCTCCACGTGTGCTCCAGGTTCCGTTCGGCCAAACCCAGGCCGCGTGAAAGATACCAAATGGCGTATCAGCAGGGGGGTCTAGGACGACATCTCTCCGTACTGGTGCTGGATGTCCTTCGCCACTTGACCCTGCAGCACGCGCCCCCTCCGAGCTAGCAGTCGCAGCCGCGCCCGGTCCTTGTGAGTTTTCCCACATCGTGCTCACTTCTCCTGCAACTCGAGTGGCCCACTCCCGGGCTACTGTCTCCGCTGTTTGTCGCCCCACTGGTTCTGCATCTTCAAGGGTCCAAACCCTTGACAGCAGCTCTTCAGCGAAGGGCACGATGTCGGGTCCATGCACCCGACAGAGTTGGTAGAACAGGTGCCTCCTGGCTTCTGCCCTGGCTCGATGAGTACGTAGTCCAGCCAGCTCCGTCGACACACGAGCGCGCCAAGCTCGCGTACGACGTCGTCTTTGTGCCTCCTCTGCATTTCCATCACGGCTGGCCACGTGCTTTCTCTTCTGGGCCAAGGAGGTAGCATCCCCATCTTCCCTTGCTGGTCTTGGCCTCTGCCTTCTTTGCGGGGACCTGGACCGAGACAGCATTCGTCGCTCCTTTTCCTCCTCCCAGTCTCTTTCAGGAGGAAGTGTCACTGGATGAATGCCCAGCCTTCGGAGGTGGGCCTCTGCCACCCTGTTTTCCATGGCAACAGGGCATCTTCTCCAGTGCCAGAAGTGCCGGACCATAACAGCAGTGTTCCTGCTGACGGTTCGAACATCTTTGTCCCTGATTTCACGGGGTCTTCCGTACCACCTCACATTTGGGTCCCTCCCTTCTTCGAACCTTCCGAGGCTCCTGATGATACTGTTCAGCTGGTCCTCGTTCTCGGCCATGAAGGTGTCGTCACCGAAGGCCATGAACTCATCAAGGATGCTGTTCGCCAACCTCCGCGCGGTGATTCCATTCTCAATTAACTCTTTTCCCCCTTCCAGAACTTCCAAGTACCATCCGGGCGCAACACCCGGGTTTAGGGTTTAGGGTTTATTTATATATAGATATAGATAGATAGATAGATAGATAGATAGATATAATTAGATAGATAGATATAGATAGATAGATTAAGGTCATCCAAGAATTTAGTGGGCACCGCACACTACAGACTAGGGTCTTGAGGTGGTGATAGTGGCAACAATCCCAATTATGGGGGGGGGGCATATATATGGCTTGTAAGGTTTAGGGGTCTTAGTTTTTAGGGCTTTAAACTGCACATGTCCCCGGAGACTTAAATATATCCCTACGAGATCCTACCTTTAAGCCTAGACCCATAGATTACACATTCCCGGTCGGGCCTCGCTGGACTCGCTTCCGCCTTCGCTAATCTTCACAGCATTAAGAATCTCCCGCGCTCGCTGGGGGCTCATCTTCGAAGCCGACTTCGGGGGGTTTCCCGCCTCGATGTCGTGCACCTTGGGAGTACCAAAGCTAAGCTTCTTAGCAATCGCATCCACACTGGGTGACCTTCTCAAAATCCCCGGGGAGCTGCTTGCCGTGGTGGAGGTAGCCGATTCTGCTTGCAGATCGGCCTTCGCTTGCTTGAGCTTTCGCGGGTTGGGGGACTTCATCAACATCTTCTCCCCGGGCTCCGCGGGCGGTCCCACACACGCCTTTTGGCGTAGGCGTTTGTTCGGCACAACCATATTGCACTTCGATCACCACTGAAAAATCTGGTCCCAAATGGCCGCCTTCGATGAAGCAATAGCCCCTGCAAGCATATATGTCGTCCTTCAGAAGCAACCGTTATCCGCATGCACATGTTTTGTGGGCTCCAAAGCCTTTGACACAGGTCTTCACCCATAATTTCTAGGTCGAAGTGTTGCTAGAACAACACCAAACCCGACCGGAGTGCAGCAAATCGAGTCCAATTCGGTCGAAGCATGAAACCGTGAATTTGCACGCTGTTTCACGCTATTTTCACGCTTTCACGCTTTACCCTCGTTATGTAGTTATCCCAGAAACTTCGACCGAATTCCCTCCGAAATGCAACAAATCTTGCTTCCATCAAGCGAGAGACCGGATCACACTTCGGAGATCGGCCTTTCTTCCCCATCCAATGTCCTGCATGCAGACAAATTGACCCCTTATTGAACTTGGTGCTGAATAAACCAGGCAAGATATAACTTATGTTAGGGTCTTCGGGCTGGGATGTACATCTTAGGGGTTTAAGGAGCTATGTATTAGGGTCTAGGATGCACCGTGTGCACAAAACATCACAAACTTAGGGTTTAGGGTTTTCGGGTTTAGGGTTCATCTGATCTAGCATGAACAGACCGGATCCTCCATGGCTTTAGGGTTTAGGGTTTTCGGGTTTAGAGCGTTTAGGCTCGAGCCTACTCGGGGCAACGCCGTTGCTTGGTAAAGTTACCAAGTGCTGATCGAGCCATGTCTGAACAAACCTTTAGAGCTGGACCGGAGACCATGCTTGATTCACTGGAGTGGCGCAGATTAAGCAAGTTTGCAAGTGATTTCGTCCCTGGCATGCATGGAACACACCAGAATTTCCTAGTGCAGCCCTTTGGTGCTGTAGCATCTGATTCTGAGTGCAAAATTGTCCGAGCAGAGCTGGTAGAGGTGTCGAATGGCATCAAGCATACAGGGCGCAAGGTGGTTGTGCGACTACGACATGAGGACTGGTTCATGTTGGAGGCCCCTGGTCCCCTTCGTGTCATTCAGGCCGGATGTCATCAGCTTCACCAGGAGTTTGTCTTGGATTGTACACATCCCAGGACTTTGGTTGCCAGCTATCAACCATTGGTGCAAGAATCCACTGTTCAGGTTGCCGAGGTCTTTAGTGGTGGTTTTGGTGGTTGGGCTCAGGGTGCATACGTGTTGCACAGAGCAGGCCTTCCTATTTCCACGCGTTGGACTCTTGACCTCCAGGAGACGAGTATCCCCATGCAGCAAGCTCAGGTCCCGCATCTAGCATGTGTAGAGACACTTGAGGATTTGAGGGAGCTCACACCCCATGCAGATGAGCAGCTTCACATAAGTGCCAATGTTGAGCATGATTGGTGGTTGCATTGTCTTGTTCACAGACCGATCAATGTGCTGGTGGCGTCACCTCCCCTGCAGCCTTGGAACAATCATGAAAAGGCCCCGGGACTCAATTCCTCAGATGGACGACTCATGCTACGCATAGTGGATGTTGCCGGTGCCTTCGGCATTCCTGTGGTTGGGATTGAGACTTGTGCGGGAATTTTCCAGCATGCACATTACCCGCAAATCTTGGAGGCATGGTCTGCCGCAGGTTACCGTCTGCATCTTCAGCTGCAGCTTAATCTGCTGGACGTGTTGCCTTGTTCCAGGCCCCGGGCCATGTTGGTTTTCGTTAAGCAAGACCTGAGTTTCCCAGATCCCGAACTCGGTGATGCGTGGAATGCTGCAAAACGGTCAACCTTGAGCAGTGCCTTGGCCATCTTTGATCATCCGCCGGAGATACAAGGTTCCCTAAGCCTGGCCCCAGAAGTGCTCAACATGTATATGGACCCGTGGTATCTACCTCCAGCACGAGGCGGACGCCCCACACCGTGTTCAGCGCAGAGCTTCAGGTTCCGAGGCCCGCATCAGTCGGCAGGTTGCTTTACATCGCAATACCAGTTTCAGCATCACATTGATGAGGGCATGCTTGCATCACAAGGGCTGCTGGGGTTTCTCTTTTGCGATGGTGATGCCCCTAGGTTCTTTAGTGGGGCAGAGATCTGCTCGCTGCACGGCGCAGTGAGACCCATGCTTCTCCTGCGAGACCAAGCTGAGCAAATGAACCAGCTCGGTGTGTCCACTGCAGTGCCACAAGCCGTGGCAGTGTTGGTGCATGTGTGTAAAGCACTAGGCCTAGAGCATGTCCCCTCCCCGGCCGAGGCGGTATGTAAGGTGCTTGAGGATCGTCTTCACAGTCGTAACACATTGTTCCTGCCTCTGAGAGGGAATTGGGTTCTGTGCCGCAAGGACCAAGTGTGCCAAGTTCTTGAAACTGGCTTCAGCTTCAGTGACCCACTGCAGTACCACACCACGCCTGAGGAGTTTGTGCCGATCGCTTTTCAAAGCCAGAGCCGTGTGGTTGTCCTTCAGGTTCCTCGAGGGATAGCCTCGGAGGCCGTGTCTTTGCAGGTTGGCTTGAAGGTAGATGCACCCCTAGGCTGTCCACAGGCACCGTTTTTCTGGGAGCCAATCACATTGTCTACTGCTGAGTTGCCACATCTGCATTGCGGAGGTCTAGCCTCCCATTGTGCCTCGTCTCAGCTTTGCACAGTTCTGACTGCGGGACAAAACTTTCTGGCCGAGCCAGCCTCACCCCGGTTGTGGCCCCAATTGCTGTGTGTCTTCGACAGTCTCTCCTCTGACCAGGAGGACCTTCTGTGCTATAGCCTCTGTGGCCAACGCCTGTGGTATGCAGAGGATTTCGTTGGCTGCATCGTCGCAGCAACCTTAGCCCAGGAAGCGCCGGAGCTCAAGTTGAGCCTTATCTCTGAGGACTTTGTGGCCACCAAGGTGCATATGGAAGGCTCCTCTTGTGTCATTACGTGCCCCGCCAGCAATGCCATGAACTTTTGGCTCGGCTTCCCTTTCCACTTGTCTGAGGCCATCGGCTGGTCGGCGGAGACAGTCAATTTCCCTTGTCAGCATGAACAGCCCATGCAGCTGAGACTGCACCCGGCCATGCATCGGGTTCATACAGCACCGCATCTTCTGCCGAGCCAGCTGCGTATCTGGTATATCGTGTCCCGCCTTGAGGCTTGTCGTTGCGAAGCCACTTCCGAGCATGGACACCTTGTTGAAGTCCAGATTGTTGCGTTCCGCATTTGGGAAGGCCAGTTGCCTGCCTCTTTTGAGGTTGATCGGCTCACTGACTGGTGGTCTGAGGCCTCTGTTGCTTGTGCCATCCCAGAAGGAGTGCGACTCTTCTCTGGCCCCCACCAGTTACCTGAACACACAGAGGTTGGTGAAGCTCTTCAGCTGCCTGCCCGTGTTGTGCGACGCCGCAGTGGCTCCCTGTTGTTGACCTACCATCCCACCTGTACAGGGGGGGGGTGAAAGAGGAAAACGTGAACTGGTCGAAAACCCGCCTTGCATCCTTGTGCCTGTCCCAGGGAGTTGACCTCAACAGAACCACCTCCTTTGTCGATGCAGTTTCCGCCAGCACCAGCTCTCAAAAGCTGTTCAATGCCCTGCAAACGGGTAAGGATGAGCAGAAATGGCAGGTTGTTGTCGACTTCGCCAAGGAAGCGGGAATCCCGGTCCCGGCTGGCATCAATCTTGTTGCGCGGGCTGAGCAGCGAGTGCGCAAGACTACGCAGCGCAAGAAGCAGGAAAGCCGCATGCAGGTAAGAGCCGGAGATGTTTGCATCGCAGAAAACTTTTTCCAGAATGAAGACGGTACGACCACTGCCATGTTGACTGGTCTCCGGCCAGGTGCCACTGGAGTGCTGCTAGCTGATGCTGATGCTGCGGCGGAACTCACGCAAACCATGAAAGGGGTGCAGCCAGATGAGCTTGGACTGTTGGTGCTGGGGCACGCATGCCCGTGCTGTGCTATCGAGGAAGGCAGTCGTCTTTCTTTCCCGGCGGTGGGGCGCCACTGCGGATCCAAACTGCTCCTCACGGGCTGCCTTCATAATCTTGGTGGCAAGGCTGTGCAGGTGTCCAAACGCCACAATGTTGATGTGCCCCTCCCGGACGTCCTGGTCTGTACCTTCTCTCTCTTCGCCGATGAGTGGGAGGCCGAATCGTGGGCCGCAGCTGTGCAAGCTCCAGTGAAGACGGTTGTGCAAGCTTTTGCCCGGGTAGGTCTGGATAAGATTCTGAGTGAGCCCTGGAGCCGACAGTTTCGATTGAAGGGTAAGGCCTCCTCACCCAGCCTGGCTGACCACATCTCCTTTAAAGCTCGGGTCGATTCCAAGTCTTGCGATACTCTGCTAGCCAGCAGTGGACACAATCACGTTTACATCGTGCCACGACGTCAGGATCAATCCCTGCAGAGTGGCTATGCCATCGTGTGGTTGGGCCCCACCAGAGCTGAGGCAATCAAAGCCTCGCTACAGGTGCCTGGCCAACTGGGTCTGGTGCGAGCCCGTGACAGGTACGGCTTACGCGTGCCAGAGTCAAGACATGAGGCTATCTTCAAACAACTTCGGCCAGGACAGGCTGCACCTTCCAAGCTTGATGTTAAGCACCTCTGGCGCATGGGCCCAGTGCCAGCCAATGCGGATGCTGCAGCCATACAGGCCTGGGCAAATGGCAGCAAATGGACAGTGAAGGTGCTCAAAGCGCTAGGGCCTCAACACTGGCATCTGGGTTCACAGGTGGAACCGCCGCAGGCTTACCCTGGCTTCAATGGCCAGACAGTGATGGTGACCAAGGTGCCGCAACGTGCCGCCCCTACGCCCATTGTGCAATCAGGTCATCTGCAGGGTCGCCAAACCTCGGTCGACACTCACCTTTCGGCTCCGCGATCGTCCACGGAGGAAGACCCGTGGCTTACCAATGACCCGTGGGCGAAGGCTGCCTTTGCCTCTACCCGCACCTCCTTTGCATCTCTCTCCGCTACCAGTACACCATCCCGCCAGGTTACAGGCCCTACTGAGCAACGATTTCAGGCACAGGAGGCCCGACTGCAAGCGCTTGAGGAGAATCTCCAGACCTTGAAAGACCAACACGAGCAGGGCCACGCCCAGCTGCTGCAGCAACAGGCTGTGGATCGTCAGACAGCCCAAGCCGCCAATACTGCCCTCCACGAGCAGCTGGCCACAGTGGGCAGTGAGCTCACCAAACAACTCCGGAGCTCCGTTGAATCTCTGCAAAGTGCTCAAGGCCAGCAGCAGCAACAAATGCAGTCGAGTCTCGAAGAACTTAAAGCGCTGGTCCTTGCGAGTCGGGAAAACCGTGACCCGAGCAAGCGAGCCAAAAAGCAGAACGAGGATGAGCTTTGACACTCATTGAGCCGGCAGTTGCCGGCCCCACAGCTTTTCAGTTTTTTGTTGACTCCCAGGGAGTCCCCCTCGTCCTCTGTTTCCATGGGAGAGATCCTGAGGTCGTGGCCTGATTTGTGCTGCCGATGTGTGGCCCTTTTGCTGCAGGACCCCGTTGGGGTAATAACGTGGTCTCTTCAGCCTCTTTCAGACCGTATTGTTACGGGCCCTGGGGGGCCCAAACCTTTCAAGAACAGTCGCTTACGAGGTGTTCCCGGGCACCGTGTTCCACAGATCGCTTGTCGGCCATCTGCAATACCATGCTCCTTGCCAATTCGTGTACATGCCGGCGCTCGCATTGAGAGTGCCCCGTGCTTGGTACCAGTGCGCCCCTTTGAATGTGCGACACGACAGCACCATGCAACCCTCCGGGTATTTTATCAACTCAGCCTCAGTGCCATGGTCTGGTCAATGTGTCGGTTGACTGGCCATGGAGGCCAACGTGTCGGCGAAGCCCTGCATCCGGGCCCTCCTCACCAGACCTGCCTCTCTAGTTATTTCCGGCCTTCGCCCCGGCCCCCAGGCCCAACCTCACCCGCACCGTGTGTCCCACAGCCTTCCTCAAATGATGGTTCTGACTGTGGTTCCAGATCCACCGACACCGATGCCACGTCCTTGAACTTTCGGGTGGCAGTTGTCAATCCGACAGCCCTGCATGGCAAGGAGAGTGATATTCTGTCCCTTGACCAAGATATGATCTTTGCCTCAGAGACGTCGGCTGTGTCGGCGGCACAATCCTCGTCTACCCGTCGCTTTCAGTGTGCTGGATGGCGATCTGTGTGGAGCCCGCCTGTTCCCTCTCACCATTCCAATGGGCCCGAGCCTTCATTGCGCGGCTGTGCTGAGGGTGTTGCCCTTCTTAGCCGATTCCCACTCCGAGGCAGCTTCAGTGGACAGCCGAAGAGCTGGAATGCTTCCTGCCGACTTGTGGAGGGTTTCGCTCGGGTTGGTTGGCTTGCCTTCAGGGTCATAGGGATCTATGGTTTTCCTGCCAACAGACTGGCCGCAAGCACGTGCAACGACTCCCTGTTCCATATGGCCCTGCAGGTGGCTGTTAGTGACCACATCCCAACCATCATCGGGGGTGACTTCAATACCAAGGTCCAGGACCTTCCAGTGTGGGCTGAGTATCAGCGACATGGCTTTCAGGAAATGTTTGAGTTCTGGGAAAAGCGCACAGGTGAAATGCTCCCTCCCACTTGTCGTGCTTCAACGAGACATGATACGTTGTTGATGCCTCCACTTTTTCAACAGTTGTTGCGACAGGCATCGGTGAACACGTCTGCCTGCCTCTTCGATTCGCATGCTCCCTTGCAAGCAACCTTTGAGGTCCCGGATAGACCTGTTGTTCTTCACCGATGGCGTATGCCCCGCACCTGGGCCAACTTGCCCCTTCCTCGGGATGACCTGGCCAGTGCTTATGATGGGCGACGGCCTCAGGTGCTCGCTCAACAAACCCCTGTTGATGCCGCTTTCTTGGCCTGGGCCACTGCAGTGGAGGAGTCGGTGCATGACTGCGTGGTGGCGGCGCATGCTGAGGATCCCATGGCATGCCCGATACGGGAGTTGTCTCAAGCCCATCGCGGGCGCTTCCAATTCAGGCCGCGTCTTTCTTTTCCTTTGCCTAAAACTGTCCGGGCAGCTAGGCAGGGGGACTATAATCCGCCCAACGAGATCACCTCCATTGTGGCCAAGGCAAAGGTGCGACAAGCACGCCGACTGCGGACCTATCAAGCCGGCCTTGCCAAAGCCAGGCGCACGGGTGACTGGTCGGATGCAGTGTGCAAGCAGCTTACAAACGAGTGGACTGCCATCAAGAAGGCTCGGGGCTATCCACCCCACTTCTCATCTTGGCTTCTGGCGCTTGAACATTTTGATGTCTTCTGGGCCAACTGGCCACCGGCACAGTGGCTAGCTGAGGTCACTGAGTATGTTTGTTATGATGCCGATGCCCTTGCACGACTTGAAAAACACAGGTTGGCCCAGCTGGCTACCTATCGGGGTCACTTGGATACTCAGAGTGGACATTCGCGCCAGCAGTATGCAGCCTTACGGGATCAGGCCCGCCCGCCCATCACGGCGCTGCCGGTTCACATCACGCAGCAGGCAACCTGCCTGAGCGAGCAACCCAACCAAACTGCGATATACAGTGTCCTCGACGCTGATGCTTTCAGGGAGGGTGCTCCGGCCCAACTCGGGGATGTTCAGGTTTTTGTGCAGGCCATTCTTACTGAGCCGGATGATGCCAAGGTGGTGCGATTAAAACATGAGTCTGCAGCCCTACCGCCTTCTGCCCTGCTGCGACAGAGTACAGATGCTTCCACTGGAACCGAGCTTCATCGTGCTTTTGTTGAGTATTGGGCCCCCATTTGGTTGAGAGACACTGGAGCTCCCACCTTCCCCGCCACAAGCCCGGACACTGCAAAACTGGGACCCATATGATGAACAAAGCTGGCTTCGGCAGGTCCGCCGCTTGAAAACCGGCAAGGCCACGGGCTATGACGGTTTTTCCAATGCCGAGCTCCGCATGCTGCCTGAAGCAGCACTGCTTGATCTTATGGGCCTGTTCAAATTGCATGTGTGGCACCATCGGGTGGCCAAGTCACCTGGGTTCTGCTACAGTGTCTTGCCTGGCCAAGACAGATGTTCCGCAGGGCATGCAACATGCCAGGCCCATTACCATCCTGGCCTCCACGTACCGACTATGGGCGTCTCATGCAGCCAGAGGCATCCTCCAGAGTTGGGGCCAATGGTTCCCTCGGCATATCTTTGGTTGTCTGCCCCAGCGAAGTGTTCGAGACCTTTCCCTCCAGCTTGAGTGCCTCATTGAGCGTTCGATCCAGACAGGAGAATCCCTGGGAGGTTTCAGCATTGACTTGGTCAAGGCCTTCAATAATATCCCACGGCAGCCCCTCAAAGCTCTGTTGACGCATCTGCACGTGCCGAGCGTGATCATTGATACATGGTTTGCCTTCCTCCCTCTGATCTCTCGGCACCCTGTTTTTGTCAACGACCTTGGTTGTGGACTGCTGTCTACCACGGGCGTGCCAGAAGGTGATCCTCTCAGTGTTGTTGGCATGCTGGCCCTCTGTTATGCCGCAGAATACTGGCCAAGATCCTCAGGTTCCACACTGATGTCCTATGTGGATAATTTCACATGGGTAGCATCGGATGCCACTGCGATAGCCTCAGCACTGGACAGTGCACAAGAGTTCTGCTCGGCTCTTTGCTTGCCGATCGATTGGTCGAAATCTTTCTGTTGGTCCACCGTCGGCGGCCTGCGCCAATGGCTTAAGCACCATTCCCACCAGCATATGCCGGAGGGTACCAAGTTGCAGTTGGTTGATAGTGCCCGGGATCTTGGGGTTGTGTTTCGGTTCGGACCCAGGGCCAAGGTGACCGGCCTCCAGAAACGTCTTCACCAAGGCCACGAACGCCTAACCAGGTTGGCCAAGTCCTTTCGCGGCCTGCAGGTCAAAGCCCACATGCTGCAGACTGCCATCTGGCCGGCCACTTTTTATGGACTTGAAGGCCAATGCTTGGCAGTTGGAAAGGTGGATGCCTACCGTTCGGCGGCTGCGCAGGCCTTGTTCGGTAAAAGGACGTCGATGTCACCGTTTCTTGCATGTGGGGCGGTTTCCACCAGAGCGGCCGATCCGGAGGCCTATCTACTGGCCCAGACTCTCAATGCTCTAGCCCGTATGATGCGACACAACCCCGATTTGGGTGAGTGGTGGCTACAGACGGCTGCCAGCTATGATTGTGGGCCCCGCCGTGTCAGTGGGCCTGCCAGTGCCCTTGCCAAAATGCTTCATCGACAGGAGTGGGTCCTGAAACCCAATTGGGGTTGCCACGGGCCCGGGCCATTGGTTTGTTGACCTCAGACACTCCTCGCCTCGAGCCATCCGGGCTGCTGTCAACGGTGCGTGGTGTTCCCTGCTGCCTAGCAAGGTGGGCCATCGGAATGGGTTGAGCTTGGTTTTGCCCCCTGCGGCGGACATTACCGAAAAGGCACTCTCCTCCTTCGGCCTAGGTGAACAGTGCCATTTGGACCAGACCGTGGTTGGCGGTTTCATGTCAGCTGCAGCAAGGTCCAAATGGGACAAACTTCAGGAGCCACAGTGCTTGTTTTGTGGTGCAATCGACTCCAAACACCACCGCCTACTGCATTGCCCCGCACTCCAAGGTATTCGTCAGCCTTTTGCCACTTTACTTGAATGGGTACAAAGTGATATGCCTCACTGGCTTCACTGCCCTTTCGGTGTGGAGGCTGACCAAGAGGCCTTTTCCCGCTTGTTGTGGCGCTCCCGTGCCATGCCACTGCCACCAGGCCCAGATGAGCTTGCCAAGTATCGGGATTTGACGGCCTTGCATTTTTATACCGACGGCTCCTGCAGTAACAACACTTGTCCGCAGGCTAGACATGCAGCATGGGCGGTAGTGATTGATACGATGCCAGATCAGTCACTCCCAGATCCCCTACCTGAGACGAAGCATTTGTGCCAGGTTTTGCGAGGTCGGTGTCATGTTATCTCTCAGGGGATTGTTCCAGGACAACAGAGCATTGGCAGAGCGGAGTTCTGTGCCATTCTCCGGGCAGGTCAAATTGCCGCCTCGTTGCAGCGGCCCCGCGCCTGCCTGTGGACTGACAGCGCCCTTGCCTTGCAAGCCTCACGGCTGCTCCAGGTTGAAGGCCAGGTTGCAACTTGCAGCAACGTTTCTGATCTGTTACCTGATGGACCCCAGCCACTTCCCCAGGGCCTTGATCTGCTGAAGGTAAAATCCCATGTAGACCTGCACTGTTGCCCCCCGGAGGACAGAGTCAGGGTGGCTGGTAATCATGTTGCGGACGCCGCAGCAAAAGCAGCGTTGGCAGCTGACCTCCCCTTGACCAAGGACCTCTGTTCGGAAGTGGCCGCCTGGCGCCGCTGCCAGCAGGAAAGACTCACGTGGTTCTTCCA